ACATACATACATTTTTTAATATATCTTATACACTTTCCCCCTTCCCCTACTCTCTAATCAAAGTGTGTTCTGAATTTTATTTTTAATAAGGATACTTTTTTTTTTTTACTGAAATCATTTTATATAGATTTTTGATCAAATGTCTTGATAAGCAAAAAAGAAAATATATTATAGGTATACGTATACACACATTTAGTAAATTTATCAAACAATTAATTATAATTTCGGAACATGATTATCGTATACGTTAATTGTTTAAAAATGGGTTAGAAAAAAGAAAAATAAATACGTATTATATCGTATTATTCGTTTCTATTTAACATTCTTATCGTATTTTGAAAAAGAAACGTTCCGATAAAATACACGAACACACTTCGTAGTTGGAAATAAAAAATAAAAAATAAAAAAAAGAAATAGAAAAATAAAAAACGAGGAAGAATAGAAACTTATATAGTCAAGGATCGAAGAATAAAGAAATGTGGGACAAGGAAAACTTAACGCCTTGGCTTCGATGTTCAATGGTCTTCTTAGTTCGATTATTTGAATCGATTGATGAACGTGAAAATTCAATAAATGCGAAATTAACGATACAAGATATATGTTTGAACGATATCATCTCTTTCTGTTTTACGTCTTGTCTCATCTCGTGTCTCGTATTTTCTTTTAATTTTTTCTTCAATCTTCTCCTTATTCTTTTTCTTCTTCTTCTCCTCCTTCTTTTTCAAATCGTGACACGGACATTCTAATCAAGAAGGCAAAGTACCGTAATCTTCCTTCGCGAATTAGCTTCTCGTCGTGAAACAATGAGTCGATTCGAGTTCGCTAGCAATGAGTAAAGAACGTAGGTATCTATGTATACCTACTTCGTTAATTTTACAATAACAAACGGAGGAGAAGATTACAGAGTTTTTACTATTCGCGAACTAACTCTCTTTTCCCTTTGTAATCTCACTCTCTACGATTATTTTATTCTTGCTAATCTTTCTTCCTTTATTGTACGAAATGAAAAAAAAAATAAATAAATAAATAAAAACATTATAGAGAAAAAAAGGAAAAAAAAAGGGAAGTAGAAAATACTAATTATTAGAATATTGTAATTAGCCTATGTAACAAAAAGAAAAAAAAAAAAGGTTTCTTCTAAAGTAAAAAAAAGAAAAAGAGAATATTAAATATTAGAATATTTCATTTTTCCTTGCAATTAAAATATTATATTTTTCCTCTACAACACAAAATATTCTTTCCTCTAAAATAAGAGACAATTAAAAAATTACATTTTTCCTTTAGACAAAAGAAATATCCTCCCTTATAAAGCGAGAAATAAACATAAACTACTGATATAATGAAAATATTAAATAATTATATTTTTTCCCAATTGTATAAAGATAAAATAATTTCTATCCAATAAGATAAGAGAAATGAAATAGAAAATACAGATAATTACGATATTAGATCCTTACAATACAAAGAAAATCTATCTCTTCTTAAGATTAAAATCTTGAAATATTCAGAGAGAAAAACTAATCTAACCGAGTTTCTAATTAAAATTAAAGATGAAGGTTAAATAAATGATTCATGCGAGTAAGACAAGATTTTTAGCGTTTTCGAGATTCCAAGATAGATCTTTACCTATCTATTTGTCTTAAAGAACAACGCACCTGGCCAACATAAAAAGAAAGAAAGAGAGAGAAAAAGAGAGAGGAAGAGAGAGAGCAAGCACTGGTGGAGATTAAAAGTAAGCAAGGAAGCCTAGAACCTCTATAAATATTGAACGATGTCCGGATTTATGGAGCAGATGGTGGGTTCGAATGTAAAAGGAAGTTATATTGCAAGTTTACGTAAAACGATGTGTAAGACCCGTATATTTATTTCATTCTCTATCCTTTTCCCATTTCTTCTCTCTTTCAGGTATTCAGGATAAAGAGTGAGAGTGAGCCTTTTATCCTTAGACAACCCTACAGATACCACAAAAGGTTAACTAATTAATGTATTGTTTCACCAGGTTTGGGCCTTTCACCGAAATCTGCATTCATTGAATATGGAACGCTTTAACTTGTGTTTCTATTGTGGCCTTGTGCTCTATGCATATCTATCAGCTTTTCTACGAATGAAAAAACAAATACGAGAAAAAGAGAGAGATACATAGAAGGAAGTGCAAAATGATAAATCGTAGAGTTCAGGAAAACTGGACAACAGGTTGACATTTCATATATATATATATACATGCAAATGTGGTCTATCGTTTCCTGCATTCTTGAATCTGTCGTAATAAAACAAAAGAAAACAACAAAAAATCGTCTCATTAATTCGTATCATTTATTTCGTTACATTTCCCCTATTTTTCTCTCCTACTCCTGTACCTCCCCCCCCCCACTCTGACCCTCACGAATTTTTACCGACGATGCACGGTTAACGGTTGATATTTTTTTATGAATATGAAATTTGATGTTTCGTGAAAGGTAAAAATAAAAATAAAGAAAGAAACGAAATAAAAAGGAAGACAAAAGAGAAAATACCTTATCGCAATACCTTCAAGCAAATTATATTCCATTTTCTATCCACCTCCCCACTCATTTGTTCACTATTCGTCGACAATACATAAAGTTGACCGTAAAAATATATATAAAAAGTGAAGAATCTTATCAGCTATATTTTCAGCCACGTATTAATTAATATCGTAATCGATACGTATTATTATCGTTAGTAACGAGAAACCTATATTTTCTTATTAAAATACGTATGATATATATATACCATATATGATATACGACAACGTTTTCGTAAGATTTGCGTAAACGATATCACATCTATGCACACTATGTATAATTTTGTAGACTATTTTTACATACATATATATATATATAAAGGATTTTAACAACATCGTCATATAATTTGCGAGCTTACGCAGTGAACAAAGGTCAAAGGCCTCGGTGAGTCGTTAGCAGTCATATGTTTGCTAATTCGCGCTAGTTATCGAAGCGATTTTATTGGTCGGCAAACGTAATGCATTTCACCCGCATCTCGAGTGAGCCTTCAAGTTTAACAATGTCTATACAACAAACACGTATCCACGTGATAATATTTATGTAATATTTATATAGTTCTTTATATGGATTACACGTTTTATGATAAATTTCATTTCTTTTTTTTTTTCTTTTTTTTTTTTTTTTCAAATCTCCTAATTTTCTTTCCAATCGAATTCCATTGAAAATGAATCATTCATTTTTTAACTCCATTATCATTTCGAATTGAAATTACTAATGGAATTTTATAAACACGCTTGGACGTCAGATTCGAGTCACCTTTGTACGATGATATGTAAAAAGATAAGTAACGCGTTATTATTGAATATTTCTTAAGAATAATTGTAGTGAAAGACACACACACACACATACACACACACACAGACAAATGTATTATCAAGAAAATATTTTTCTAATCGATCAAAATTACACTTAACAATAAAAATTGAATTAAATTACTAATATAAATAATTACAATACGATAATTATATCGTAAATTGGTAGTATAATTAATATCGTAAATATTTGAAAATAAAAATATATATATATATATATATAAATTTGTATATCTTTTTTAAAAATAATATAAAAATATAAAAGTACAAGATTTCAATGTAAATTTGGTCGCGTTTTCTTGGTACGTCACGAAATGTGTTCTCTTTCTTTCTTTCTTTCTTTCTTTTGAACGTTCACGAGCTATATCCTCTCGATTTTAATTCTATAGAGGCGGCATTACGAAAGAGGCCTCCGGTACATGCGCTTGCATTTCACGCTGCCTTGATTCCTGCAGACGATCGTGTCCTCCCATCAACGTAGTGCCTCGTGCATGTCTGTCACACGTACCGATTCCATGCATGCTCACGTAATTTCAGGTAACGCGAACCGTCCCACCTTCTCTCTTTCTCTTTCTCCTTCTCTGTTACTACTACAGAAAAGTAAAGAGAAAGAGAGAGAGAGAGAAAGAGAGAGACAAAGGAAAAAATTGAAAATTCTCTCTGCGTACTACTCCTCCTTTCTGGCAGAAGCGGGTCCACCAAAGAATTTGCAGGGATTTGTTTCTTTTTTTTTTTTTTTTTTTTTTTTTTTTTTTTTTTTTTTTTTTTATCATTCGTACCAGTAAAAATTCCATCCACGATACCGATTCCCGACGAATTTGTATTTACCGATTTGCGATATAAACGATTCTAATAAAATGATCTTGTTTTTTTTTTTTTTTTTTTTTTTTTTTAAGAATAAAACTCATAGCTCAATTTTTTAGTCACCCTTTTTTTCTTAAACAACTATTCATATAAATATCCCTAAATTATTATATCGAGATATTCAATTATCACATACATATAAATTCGTAGATAATAAGAAAAAATTCAATACTCTATTGACTTGAAATTACTAAAAAATGTTTAATGAATTTTTGATTAAAAATAAAAAAACAAAAAATACATAAGGACTTTGTTGCAATAATATAAAAATTAATTGCAACTACTTGCAACGTTCAAAACTCGTACGAATTATTCGAAAGTATTTGAGATAATAATATAATTATTAGATCGATTAAATAAATAAAAAAGAACAAAATGTTTTCGTTCGAAACGATTTATCGTATCGAATAAATTTCAATCTCGATAATCGATCAAATATTTATCGTTTATTATTTATTTAATGACGAAGGAAACGAACAACAGTTGGATGGAATAAAAAGGATTGAGTTTCCTGGATTGGATTGTCATGCACGAGATATCCTCCTTACGCAAAGTTTATTACGTAAAGATAAATATTAATTAACTATGGTGTTGTGTGTGGCTCTTCCTTGTAGTAGCGTGGCCCTTAAGAAGACACAACCAACCAACGTTCATTCGTGCTTGGCGTCCCACACGCATGCCACTGTCATAACCACACCTGTGTCGGAGTGAAAATGGATGGTGGAAAACGGAAGGGAAGGAATAAGAAGAAGAAATCTAATAACAAGCAGTTTTTACTCACCGTGTAACTGCGCGAGCGACTGTAGCGTGTTGGCATTGCAGTTTATGAATCCTGCAACATACAAATCAATAATAATAATAATAATAATAATAATAATAATAATATTAATAAACAAATTTGATTATATCTCGTAATAATATTTTTTTGTTTTATTATAAAGAAGAAAGGTAAAATAATTTTAATAAAATTCTCAATAAATTTGTTCGAATGAAAACAATGGAGATTTTCATTCGTTGTCTTCTCTTTCCTTTTTTTTTTTTTCTTACATACGACGATAAAATATTTTTAATTAAAACTAAAGAATTATCTAAACATTGTGAAAGGAAATAAAATGGATTAATCGTAGGATTAGATCAATTGTAATTTGTATCGTTTATTAGATTAAATTTCAAGTGGTTCACGATGCGTTTAAGTTATCGAGTGTTTAATTAATAATAATAATAATCGGTAAAGAGTAAAAAAAATAAAAGGAAGAAGTTGAAGAATTAATGGCGTGAATGGATTATAAAGTTGTTAACGTAAAGAAAAAGTGGGAGATAAAGACTCGTTCAAACATTTCTTAAGAGTAGGATACAATTGATAGATGATATCGAGCGATAAAAAATATATAATATACATAAAATTGTTTCATAAAGATATGCACGAACACACACACACACACATACACACGTTAAAATAATAAGGTTTATGTGCGAATACTCTCGTAGAAGTGTTATGGGAACCTTAGTGCTGTTAATTATCGCGTAATAGCGTCGTCACGAGCTCGAAACGAGCCACGTGAAATTATGTTAAATTAATTTGTTAATTATGCTTCTCCCGTATGCACAGAACGTATGTTCAGAAATTGCAATGACTTCGAGTGTAAATTCTAAAGTGAAAAAGAGAGAAATAGAAAGAGAATAACAAAACTAACAACAAAGTGTCGCGTAAAAGTTTACACCAGGAATTATACAGTCTAACCTGCTGTTTCGCGTCGATCGCAACATTTATTTTCTTTTGCAAAATCATTAGACTGTATAATGACAGACGACAACTACACAACTACTACGACATAACAGTGACAAGGACTGCTAATTCGTTGTATTTATTATTATTATTATTATTATTATTATTCATTAATTTCTATTGGACTCGTACTCGTCTTGTGAGTTTTATTAATACACGTGTTCCGTGAATTCATATACGCTTGTGTACATTCATTTATAGTAAAAAGTATATTCCAAAAAAAAGATTAGATTTAAACTTGCTTGCTGATACTTCCGATAGCTGTTAGTTTTTTTTTTTTCATAATTTAATCTAACAAGTAATATCTAACGTGTTTTTCATACGTTTACTTTGATTTTTTTTTTTTTAAAGTATTCACAATAAGGAAGAATAAGAAAATGGCTGTTTCAAAAGTTCTTATCCATCTACCTTTGTAAAAAAAAAAAAACAAGAAAATTTTAATCGTTTGCATCAACATTTCTACATGACGAATTATATATTTCTTTAATAAAATTTATAAATGAAATCATTGAAAGGCAAATTTGTTATATTAAAATAAAAAAAAAAAGAAACAAAACAAAAAAAAATGTTTAATTCAAATCTATCAAAGATAAGATTAAAACATTGTTATTAATAACATATACATACATTCGTTTAAACTTAATAGAGTATATAGTTTGAAAATAAGTCTCGATTCGAGAAACATTCCCATGACAGAAAGATAACCTCTGAACTAAGAGGGCCTCTTTACGTTTTACGTTCCGTGATGTTATGTACGCGTAATAGTCTTGATGACTATGCATATGTAAACATTGACATTAAGAAGCAAGTTTTAAAGTCCATGTATTTTCCAATCTGTCAGTTACCACCCTTCCGCGTTCCCCTTCCCCTCTTTTATATTTCCCCCCCCCTCCCCTCTCTCTTTCTTTCTCTCATCATCATGGTCATCGTCATCAACATCAACGTCACGATCGGGGACGCTTTCCTTTGGTTTCTTTTTCCCTTCTTATTCATTTTTTCTATCCTCTTCGTTCTACAAGTAAAGTGAGAGTACACGATCAATGTATATCTATATGTTGTATTCACAAATACATGGATTTATATATTTATTATAAATATGAATATGTACGTGTATTAGTACGCATGTATGACGAGGGTGAAGACTTTCATTAAACGTATGTCTAATTAGTAAGAGCTGCGTTTGACGTCCTGTCTCAAGCAAGACATCTTGTAGTCTCTCTCTCTCTCTCTCTCTCTCTCTCTCTCTCTCTCTCTCTCCCTTCCTTTCTCTCTTTCATTCACTCACTTTTCCTTTTTCTCTCATTCTTGGATCATCTATAGTTCCTGTTTACGTTAACTACGATTAGATAAACGTTTGTTAAATTTACCGTATATTATCCACGTTTGAAACGGAGACAAATAGGTAAATGTGGATGGATAGATTCAGACAGATAAATAAATAAATAAAGAAAAAATGAAAGAAAGCAAGAAAGATAGAGAGAAAGATAGATTAATTAAAGTAACGAATAATTACTAATATCAATGGAGCATGCGAATAAATATACGTAACAGGCAAACCATGGGGAACGGATTCGTAGAAACGTTTCAACAATTATATTTAATACTGCGTTTGTGATGAGAGAGTAAACTATGAGTACTACGACGACGACAACAAGAACAACAACAACAACAACACCAACAACGGTAGTTGACTTTCTACGAATTCGCTCTGCTCTATTTTCCTTTTCCTTTTTCTTACTTCCTTATCTTTTTATTTTTCTTTTTTCTTTTTATATCATTACTTATTTATGATATGATTTTATTTCATTAATTTTTCAATTAATCGAGCGCACAAATATTTTACAATATTACAATTTTCCTATCGTTAAATATATTATAAACAATGTCGTTTGTTTGTTCAACAGTGAAATTTATTTTCACTCCTTTCTTTTAATATTTGTTTTTTTTTTTTTTTCTTCTTAACATTGCCCAACATCATCGAGTCTCCCCGGAATTATAAAACCGGTTTTGTTTTATCTCAACGCGCGGGTCCAATCAATTTCGCTAGAATTTGGATTTTTATTTTCTAATCATTTCATCAGTAGGACACCTTCTACTCCTCATCCTCCTCCTCCTCCTCGTCCTCCTTCCTCAACTCATTTCGTTTGCCGAAAGTATGTAAATTTGAAGTGAAACGTTGAATGAAGAATCGTTGCGTTCTCTGTGTGGGAACATCGAAAATACGACCGATTCTAATTCTTTCGCAAGGCTACTAACTCTCTTCGCAAAATCCTATTTCACAAAAATGTTTGATAGAGAGAGAGAGAGAGAGAGAGAGAGAGAGAGAGAGAGAGAGAGAGAGAGAGATAGAGATAGATTGAAAAAAAAAAAATAAGAGAAGAAGAAGAAGACGTTTCACCAGACAAATTGCGCGAAGTAAGAGTAGAAAGATGAAGAGGAGGAGAAGGAGGAGGGAAGAGATGGAAAAAGAAATGAAAGAACGCAAAAGGCTGAATAAAGAGCCATGTGGTAGGTTCTTCTTCTTCTTCTTATTATTATTATTCTTCTTCGTGTTCGTCTTCTTTTGCACCTCCTTAACGTTTTCACATTTTACGAAACCGCGGGATGCTCTTTAAAGGTTGATTCACCGATGCTTGAGTACCAAGAGGAGTATTCGCTTTGCCGTTCGTTCATGTTTACTTCGTTTTCAATAATTTTATCGTTTCCTAACTTTGATCCTTTTTTGATATAGAAATGATCAAATAAATGCCACTAAACGTAATAACATTATTTTTAAGTTAATCATACATAAAATAATAAACCCGTCAAGATTTTTTTTTCCCATCGTTTAATACAAATAATAATGTATATAATTTTTGTACTTTCTTTTTTTTTTTTTTAAAAAAAAACACGCATAAAATAAACCCGTCGAGATTGTTTTCCCATCGTTAAATAAAAATAATAATGTATATAATTTTTGTACTTTCTTTTTTTTTTTTTTTTAAAAACACATAAAATAAACCCGTCGGAAATTGTGTTCCCGTCGTTTTTGTTGTTGTTGTTGTTAATTAAAAATAATTATTTGTTTTTTTTTTTTTTTCTTTTTTTTCTATTTCTTTCCTTTTATATTTCGTTAACAGATAAGGAAAGAAAATCTACATTTTATTGAATAAAACACATGTATTACGAGTACCATAAATATCTAAAACGTCATGACAACGTAACGTTATCCGGTTGTAACTCATTTAACCATCTTAGGTATTCGGTAAAATAAGGAAATAAATAGTTAATAGTTAGCTCACGGATAAAGATCATTATTCGTAAGCCGCGATGATGATGGGAATGATCTCTTCTTATAATAGCTCAATCGAGAGATAGAAGACGTTTTAACTTTCTTTCATAGGCACGTAGTTCTTCTGTGGCTTGTGTAATCAACACCCAATCGAAAATACCTACCATACAACGTTCGAGCTTGTCATTTTGCGTGATATTCTCAACCAAGTACACACACACGCACACACACACAACATTGGTTCGTTCGCATATGCACGCATGCACGTAAATAAATACATATGTTATCCTTCTTAAGAATCGTTTGTTCCAAACTCGTGTTCCACACGCAAGAGAAGGAAAAAGAGAGAGAGAGAGAGAGAGAGAGAGAGAGTTCGCTTATCACCTAACTTTTAATCTTTTTTACAAATGACGTTATACAGGATTAATATAGCGAGTGTTTAAAAAATAAAAACATAGAAATACTTTTTTAAACCTCTGAGATCTTTCTAACGAATTTTTGGAAATGAATAGATGTATCTAGATAAACAAAAAACAAAAAAGAAAAAAAAGAAAGAAAGAGGGAAGAAAGTGAATAAAAAAATATGGACGAAGAGAAAGAAATTGACGAGGGGGTGTAGAGGGTGAAGAGAAGGAAACAATTATAATTAGTTGGTTGATTTCTCCTGGAATTGCCAAATGTTTTCAAATCTGTTCGTTTGGTGACTGACGCGGTTTCCTGATAAGCTACGAGAACCTTGCGCAAGCGAATCTTCGAAGAAACAAAAAAAAAGAAA